AAGTGGTAGTAAACTCTTAAAATAAATTAAAAAAAAAAAAAAGGTTTCCCCCTTAAAGGCAACGGCATTGCATACTAGCACATTATGAAGGCGTTGCCTTTAAACGAAGCCCTCCAGTGTCGCTGTTGTCACGGTCGCCTGATCGCCACACTCAACATGCGACAATCGCACGACCGCGACCAACAATACGTCACGCCCGGCGGCGTCGGACCCCAGACCTTCTCACCAAACTCGTGACCAAAGGACCGGCCGATCTAAAACCGCGATGTGACGTTTGTAACAATGCCACACTCAGCTGCGCCCTGTACAACGATTGTCCAGCTAATGGAACGCAATGGACGCAGCGGCAGCCTGAATGCGCTTGTTACTGGGTCGGGTTATTTACGCAACTAACCCTTCACTGCCACCACCCCTTTTTGTACAGAGAAAGGGGAAACTCTCTTTATCCAATATACACTGTAATGGTTGAAAAGTCGCCTGTCCGGTTTAAAAAGGAAGAGGTCCAATTAAGAGATATTTTGGTGGGGGATAAAATAGGATCATTTGGGGAATTGAAAAAAAAAGAGGGTGAGATTTTCACTAAATTAGACACATGGCGGTATTTTCAATTGAGGAGTTTTGTTGGAAGTTTGCCAAAACCTTGAAGGACAAGAGACAATTGGAACTTGTTTGAAAAGGTTTTGGGTACACAAGGTGATGGGAAACACGGGATTGCTAAGGTATATAAAATACTCACCGAATTAGATATAAACACAAAACCAACATATATAACAAAATGGGAAACTGATATGGGAAGCGTGATAGATGAGGAGAAGCAGAGGAGAATATATAGATTAACCCACAAAAACATTTCTATGAGAGAAGTAGAGATGAACTATAAGTGTTTGACAAGATGGCACATTACACCAAACGTTGAAAATAAGATGTGTGAAGAGAGTTCACCGTGGTGTTGGAGGGGATGTGGTGAAATAGGTACAACATATCACATATGGTGGGGTTGCCCAAACAATCAGATATTCTGGAAGACAATAACCCATTTGATAAGAAAAATAACAGAAATAGACATTGGCTTAGACCCAGAAGTGTGTATTTTGCATAACATGGATATATCAGTCAATAAATATAAAAAATCAGGGATATGGTGCTATATAAATGCTGCAAAAGCTCTGATACCCAGGTTTTGGAGGCAAATAGAGGCACCGAAGAAGAAGACTGGATTGAAGGAGTTGAGCAGATTAAAAAGATGGAAAGGTTGTGTCATGTCCAGGAAGATAGGATGGAGACCTATAATAGGAAATGGGAGAACTGGGAAAAAGCTAAGTTATATATGAAATATAGGAAAGATTAAAGAAAATAATAGGAAAACTACACTTGCTGAGATAAAATGATGCAGAGAAAAGGAAAAGCAGGAAGATGGGATTTGGGTGAGGGTGGAGGAGGGGGGGGGGAAATTTGGTATAAAGTAAATAAAGTAGAAATGTTGGATATTATAATGTATAAATATATTTATATGTTTGTATATCATGATGATGAAATGTATTTAAAATGAAAATCAATAAATATTTAAATTATAAAAAAAAAAAAAAAAGAAAAGTCGCCTGTCCAATACAGTCACTGCAGGCCGATTGGGCAGAAGATTAAACAAACACAGTAGCGTCTCTTCAAAAGGCAGGAATTCGTGAATTGCAAGTAAGCGCTTAGAAAAACAGTTTAACGCTTTCAGAAAGAAAGATTTATTACTAAAAGAGTCAAACAGGTGCAATAAAATATTTACAAAGAAAATGTAACTAGATATATTTATATATAAAAACAGCATATCACAGCCAAGAGATAACAGGGACAAGTTAAAAGGTTAAGTTAATTGCCATGTTAAGCCTTGAGGTAGCAGATCCAAGTTGCAGAGCGAAGGGTCTTTGATCTCCTGCTGTTACGATGTTAAAATTAGGAGATGTCTTTTGCTTATCCTCAGGCCTACAGCTTGTGCTTTTTAAAGTCCCCCAGCAAGGGGGTGCCTTTGAGTAACTGGCCAGTACTCTGTTTAGGGAGGGATCTCGGGCGGACTCTGAATTAAAACCAATATCTTCATAATCCATGATATGAAACGCAGGGGACAAACTGACTTGAGGAATGTTTGTTTAATTCTGTCAGGAATGGACTGGCAAGCAATGGTGGGACTCGCCTGCCTTATGGGCTGCAGTACCGGGGCTGGCCAGCAGGTGCTCCCAGCAATCAGAGACTCAACCTTGCAGCCAGCTAAACACCTGAAACTGCTTACACTGGTGTATTTAAGGGATGGCCAGACCTGCAGACTCTGCCTTGGTGTGTGTTTCTCCTGGGCCCTGTATCCTGTTCCTGTTCCTGTCTGATTCGTTGCTGACCCTGCTCTGATCCCTGGCTTTGTCTGACCATTCTCCTCTGCCAGACCCTCTGTACCACGCTGCCCGCTACCTGCTGAACCTGGCTTGTGACCCCGACCATTCTCCGCTTGCTCCCCCTGTACCTACCTGCCCGATTGATATTGACCCGGCCTGCCTGACGACGCTTGCATTGTATGTACTGTCATCTGTGGGTGGTGGTTGGTTTGGTTTGTTTGCACTGTGTTATGTTTTAGTATTGCACTGCGTTTATGTTTGTATTGTTAGTGTTAATAAATTACATTGTTTATAACATATCTGAAGTCTGCGTTTCCCTGCGTCAGTCACACACCTCTGGTCACACCCGGGAGCCCTGACATTACACCAAGGCCAATCCTGACCAGAAGTGGCTGCACAGGGAAGCCATCTTGGTTTGTTGATGGGAAGGATGGATCTTGATGAGGTTGTGTATTTATATCTGCTAGTGTTTGATGACAGAGAGTATGCTTATCAAACTCTGAAGGAGTATCCCCGGGATGAACTGCTAGAATGTATACGGCTCGCTCATGTTCTAGTAGATCAGGGCACAGAGTTCTCTGAGGTGCAGCCATTGATTCAGATTTGTGCGGAGTTGGTTTCATCTGGTACCCCCGAATGCAGGGATGAATTTTTGCCGCCATTTAGTGCCGACCAGGTAGAGTCCCTGGTGTGGTTATTAGAGGATGATGTGGATTGCTTCTTGGAGCATTATGCTGCATGTTCACCACAGACACTAAGAGATTGTATAAACGCAGTGCAGTCTTTGGTCAGACAGGCTTTGTGTAAGCTCAGCTTTGTTCAACCCATACTGCAGACATGGACAGATTTGTTGTTGCACCCAGCCTCAGTCAGCTTACAAAAACCCAGTCCTGCTTCTAATCTATTTCCTCAAAGCTCTATTCCTGCATTCCCAACAGCTCCTCCTGCCCTGCTATCTACCGCATGTCAGTACCCTGTTCCCACTCGCTGCACCTATCCTGCCTTTAACCCTGTAAAAAAGCCCTCTGTAGCAACTGTCCCCTCCTCTGTTCCATCCTCCAGCTCTTCTCTGTCTGCAGCTGCTCCATTTGTTTGCAGACCTGCGTTTACTTGCAGTGCTCCAGTAGTTAAAACCAGAAAAAAGCGAAAATTCTTTCCAACCAGTACCATCCTGCCAGTATCCAAACCGGTGAGCCTGCCGTCTGAGAACCTGCCTTCCGTGGTTCAGCCTGATGCCTCTACTCAGCCTGATGCCTCTACTCAGCCTGGTGCCTCTACTCAGCCTGATGCCTCTACTCAGCCTGATGCCTCTACTCAGCCTGATGCCTCTACTCAGCCGGATGCCTCTACTCAGCCGGATGCCTCTACTCAGCCTGATGCCTGACTCAGCCTGATGCCTCCTACTTATGCCTGTACTCAGCCTGATGCCTGTTACTCAGATGATGCCGGTACTGATCCGGTGCCCGTACTCAGCCTGATGCCTGTACTCAGCCTGATGCCTGGTACTCAGCCTGATGCCTGTACTGCCTGATGCCAGATGACTGCCAGCCTGATGCCGTACTCAGCCTGATGCCAAATGACCTGATGCCTGTACCCAGTGCCCGCTGTCATACCCTGACCTGATCCAGCCTGTGCCTGATCAGCCGATCCAATGCCTGGTGACTCCCGGTGCCCATTGCCTTGCCAGATGACACGGTGCCCGCTGGCAAGCCAAATGGCCTGGTGACCCAGTGCCCGCTGTCTACCTGGTGACCCCCGATGCCCTACTCGAGCCTGGTGATCCAATGCCTGGTGCCGGTACCCAGCCTGATGCCTCTACTCAGCCTGAAGCCCTACTCAGCCTGAAGCCTGCCCGTGGTACTCAGCCGGATGACCCCGCTGTCAGCCTGGTGCCCGATGCCCCTGTCGTGCCAGCCAATCCGGTCTGATGCCTGGTGCCCGCTGTCGTGCCAATTGAGTCAGAGCCCCTGTCGTGCCTGGTGACTCTGGCCTGCCCCTGTCTGCCAGATGACGCGGTACCCGCGCCTGATGCCAAATGACCTGATGCCTGGTGACCCGATGCCCGCTGTCTCAGCCTGAAGACTCGATCCTGGCCCTACTGCCCGCAGTCTTGCCAGATGAGCCTCGGTACTCAGCCGCAGTCTTGCCAGATGCGACTCGGTGCCCACAGTCTTGCCAGATGACTCGGTGCCCGGCAGTCTTGCCAGACGCCTCGGTGCCCACTCAGTCTTGCCAGATGACTCGAAGCCGGATGCCTCGCTCCGCCGGATGCCTCGGTGTCCAGCCGGATGCCTCTAGTCTCAGCCGGATGCCTCGCCAGACGACCGGATGCCTCTACTCAGCCGGATGCCTCTACTCAGCCGGATGCCTCTACTCTGCCGGATGCCCCGACTCAGCCGGATGCCTCGACTCAGCCGGTGCCCGCAGACCTGCCGATGCCTCTAGGTGCCGGATGCCCTACTCAGCCTGGATGCCTCTACTCAGCCCTTGCCTCTACTCATGACGGTGCCTCCAGTTGAGCCAAATGGCTCCCTCTACCCGAGCCTGTCTGCCAGCCTGACTTGGTGCCCCCTGTTAGGCCAGATGACTCGGTGCCCGCTGTTGATCCCAGACCGATCCGGTGACCTGATTCGGTGCCCGCTGTCGTGCCAGACGACTCGGAGCCCGCAGTCTTGCCAGGTGACTCGGTGCCCGCAGTCTTGCCAGACGACTCGGTGCCCGCAGTCTTGCCAGACGACTCTGACAGTCTTGCCTGGTGACCCGATGCCCGCTGTCCCGCCAGACGATGCCCCAGTCTTGCCTGACGACCAGTGCCGCAGTCTTGCCAGTTGACTCGGAGCCCGCTGTCTTGCCAGGTGACTCGGTGCCCGCCGCTCCGCCTGGGGACGACTCGGTGCCCGCCGCTCCGCCTGGGGGTCCGGTGCCCGCCGCTCCACCTGGGGGTCCGAGTGCCCGCCGCTCCGCCTGGGGGCCCGGTGCCCGCCGCTCCGCCTGGGGGCCCGAGACCTGTCGCTCCGCCTGGGGGTCCGGCGCCCGCCGCTCCGCCTGGGGGCCCGAGACCTGTCGCTCCGCCTGGGGGGGCCGGCGCCCGCCGCCCCGCCTGGGGGCCCGAGACCTGTCGCTCCGCCTGGGGGTCCGGCGCCCGCCGCCCCGCCTGGGGGCCCGAGACCTGTCGCTCCGCCTGGGGGCCCGCCGCTCCGCCCGCCCGCCTGGGGGCCCGGCGCCCCCCGCCTGGGGGCCCGGCCCGCCCGTCGCCCCGCCTGGGGGCCCGATGCCCGTCGCCCCGCCTGGGGGCCCGATGCCCTGTCGCCCCGCTGGGGGGGCCCGCCGCTCCGCCTGGGGGCCCGGGGCCCGCCGCTCCGCTGGGGGGCCCGGATGCCCGCCGCTCCGCCGGGGGGCCCGATGCCCGCCGCCCTCTGGGGGGCCCGATGCCTGCCCGCCGCTCCGCCTGGGGGCCGGTGCCTGCCGCCCCGCCTGGGGGCCCGGGGCCTGCCGCTCCGCCTGCTGATCCGGGGCCCGTCCTGCCCGATGTGCCCCGCCCGCCTGGTCCCTGGTGCCTGCTGCCTCCGCCCGGAGGCCCGGCCCGATGTGCCTCCGCCTGGGAGTCCAGCCCGATGTTGCCTCCGCCCGGAGTCCAGCCCGATGTGCCTCCGCCCGGAGTCCAGCCCGATGTGCCTCCGCCCGGAGTCCAGCCCGATGTGCCTCCGCCCGGAGTCCAGCCCGATGTGCCTCCGCCCGGAGTCCAGCCCGATGTGCCTCCGCCCGGAGTCCTGCCCGATGTGCCTCCGCCCGGAGTCCTGCCCGATGTGCCTCCGCCCGGAGTCCTGCCCGATGTGCCTCCGCCCGGAGTCCTGCCCGATGTGCCTCCGCCCGGAGTCCTGCCCGATGTGCCTCCGCCCGGAGTCCTGCCCGATGTGCCTCCGCCCGGAGTCCTGCCCGATGTGCCTCCGCCCGGTGTGCCCTGCCCGATGTGCCTCCGCCCGGAGTCCTGCCCGATGTGCCTCCGCCCGGTGTGCCGCTGCCGGAGTCCTGCCCGGTGTGCCAGTCTTTGATATCCCGCCAGTTACCAGACCCGGGCGGTGGAACATTTTGCCCAGCTAGGACTGTTTGGAGCGTCCTGAGGCCGCTCCTTGAGGGGGGGGGTACTGTCAGGAATGGACTGGCAAGCAATGGTGGGACTCGCCTGCCTTATGGGCTGCAGTACCGGGGCTGGCCAGCGGGTGCTCCCAGCAATCAGAGACTCAACCTTGCAGCCAGCTAAACACCTGAAACTGCTTACACTGGTGTATTTAAGGGATGGCCAGACCTGCAGACTCTGCCTTGGTGTGTGTTTCTCCTGGGCCCTGTATCCTGTTCCTGTTCCTGTTCCTGTCTGATTCGTTGCTGACCCTGCTCTGATCCCTGGCTTTGTCTGACCATTCTCCTCTGCCTGACCCTCTGCCTGACCCTCTGTACCACGCTGCCCGCTACCTGCTGAACCTGGCTTGTGACCCCGACCATTCTCCGCTTGCTCCCCCTGTACCTACCTGCCCGATTGATATTGACCCGGCCTGCCTGACGACGCTTGCATTGTATATACTGTCATCTGTGGGTGGTTGGTTTGGTTCGTTTGCACTGTGTTATGTTTTAGTATTGCACTGCGTTTGTTTGTATTGTTAGTGTTAATAAATTACATTGTTTATAACATATCTGAAGTCTGCGTTTCCCTGCGTCAGTCACACACCTCTGGTCACACCCGGGAGCCCTGACAAATTCTGTCACCTTAAGCTGTTAGGTTTTATGAGGTTACAATCTCTTTCAATTCCTGGGAGAAGCTGCCTTATCTGTTTTATGATGTGTGAGCCTACACAGGTTCTTGGGTCAGTGCTTCCCAATTCTCTGAGGAACACTGGCCTTATCATGACTTCGGTGAGGAAGGCTACACTTTCGTAGACTGCTCGGTACCGAACTAGAGATGCCTTGCCCTGCTGTTGACCCATAACCAGCACACACCATCTGTCACTGTGCCTCTCAGGAAGGGAGGGGGGAGGAGAATAAAAGATTGAGGGAGAAATGTATGCTTTTCTCAAAATGGATGTGCCTGACAAAATGGTGGCACTGCGTCCATCTCTGAGTGCAAGATTGCTACAGCTGTCACCGCTGCAGAGGCTTCCATCTTCACCTGGTCTTCCTTCCAGGGTTCAAAGGCTGCGGCCGCTTGAATGTCAGAGCCGCGATGACGTCCCTCCTACACATGTGCACGGGAGTCTCGACTGCGGCACACAGCTCTGAAGGAACAGCACGGGTGTGCTGTTCCTTCAGAGCGCATGCGCCGGTAACGTCACTGGCTGCTGCTTGCTAGAATATCTGCTAAACAGTGCACATTTAGGAGATATTCATTTTACCTACAGATACGCTTTATTATAGGCTTGCCTGTAGGTAAAAATAAAGAACGAGAGTTACTACCACTTTAACGTTGCAGCAAACACTCGTTAAGTCTATGGTGGTGAATCTTGTTATTCAATTTTGGCCATTTGTAATTCTAAAAGGCTATTGTCAAACAAAAGTCATCGGAAGCCAGACACTGCCATGGGGAACATGTACCACCCTTTTATAGAAAGGTGGATGGGTTATAGTCAGTCCTTTAAATGATTGGCTTTTGTGACTCTGCTGACCAGGGGAAATTACTATACACTGTGTTACAGGCTGTTCCTTATTTCTGGTGGTCAACCTACAACTTTTTAGGCAAAATGTTTGCAATTCTCAAATCTCAAATCCAAAGGATTCTCTGTTTCAGGACTGTCTGTACCACAAATAGAAACTGATGAGGGTTCTGCATCCAATTAACAGGGATTGCGGCAGTTTTCAGATGAGAAAACTGCCTAAAATCCCCGTCAGATTGTATCTGGTCTACAGGTTGTGAACTGTCTGTTGTAACCTGGTAGTCCGCTCACAAGCCTCTCTCTGCCTGTGCAGTGGACACCCTACATGGACAGAGCCTCCATATAGACAGGGAAAATTCCCTGTTCCTGCCTATATGACTTGATATTAACCCTGGAAAATACATGGTAAACAGCCTTCCTACCCCCTCTCAATCTCTGCTGGATGGTGGGGGGGCATCAGGCAGAGGGAGTTGAAGCAAGCAGCTTGAGCTCTTCTGCTCTGTATGCTGAGTCTGGCAGAGACACAGCATTGAAAATGGAGTAGATAGCTCCTAATTTACAAAGGGGCCTTCCCTTTATTATTTGGGAGCAGGTTGTGCTCCATTTTCTTGATTTAGAACAGGGTTTCTCAACCCAGGTTCCATGGAATCCTGGGGTTCCTCCAGTGGTTGCTAAGGGTTCCTTGAGCAATTTCTGCCTCCCACTGAAACCACTGATCCTTTTAGCTATCTGTAAGGGGTAATTATCCCAATAACCACAAGTGTAAGGAGCATTCTTCCCGCTGACCATCACACTAATGTATCATGGGCTGTAGATACAGTTCCCTGAGACCAGAAAGTTATTTCAAGGGTTCCTCTGTGTTGAAAAGGTTGAAAGAAACTGGTTTAGAAGAGCAGCAAAAAGAGAGAAGAAAGGCACCTCTGAGTGTAGATTGTCATACATTTTTATTAAATCAAAGCTCTGCTTGAAAAAGGAGTGAGCCCGACGCCGGTCGATGTATGCATGCTCTGAAACGTGTTCCGTCATTTCCGGTGACATCAGCTCACCGAGCACCGTGATCGCTTGTGCTCCAACTACTTCCCAACCCTTGGTTTGGGTCCCCCTCACCATCCAGTTGGCCTGTGACCAAGAGGGTGACGGCTATACACAGCAGTGGTGGAGGATGCACCACCGTTGTAAAGACTTAAAGATGTTCCTGCTTTTTACTACTATCATGTAAGTGCATTTCAGCTTTGGTTTTAATAAAAATGTATAACAATCTACACTCTGTGCTGAATATGCAGTCACTCTTCTATTCTTTAGCGCCACAGCAGTCGAAAGTCAGCATCTTCTTTCTGCCACGACCTGTGTAGCGTTTCAACAGTGCCCTTTGCCTAGAATTTGCGAATGGAGGTGTCTCTTGGTATGTTTAACATCTTTGGCCTCTCTCTCTTGCATGTACCTATGTACCTGGAGATCGCTTCCTCTCTCTAAAAGAAGGCTTGCTATGAAGTAGATATTGTCTACTTGTCCCACTGGCGCTACTCTTTTGAATTAGTTGAATTACCATCGCATCTGAAGGCTACTGTTTACAGCAGGGGTCTCCAAACTTTCTGAGCAAAGGGCCAGTTTTCTGGTCTTCTGACTTTAGGGGGGTCGGGCTGTAACCAGTGGAAGTGGGAAATGCAACGGAAATAGTGCCCAATCATTGGCATCAGTAGAAGGAATAGAGCCCTATTATTGGTATCAGTGAGAGGAATAGCACCTCAACATTGGTGTCAGTGGAAGGAATGGTTCCCCAACACTGGTATCAATGAATGAAAATTTGCCCCAATACTGGTATCAGTGGAAGGACTGGTGCCCCAACATTGGTGTCAGGAAAGGACTGGTGCTGCAGCATTGGTGTCAGTGGCAGGAGTAGTGCAACATCGATGGTGTCAGTGATATCAGGAAAAGTGAACTATCTTTAGTGATAGTGGAAGTATTATATCATTCTGTACCAGTTTAGTCCCATAGTCTTTTTAAGGTTTTTTTTATAGTTGTTAGTGGAATTAATAGTGTTCTGTAGTTTATATCAGTGGGAGGAATTCTGTCCCAATGTTGGTGTTAGTGGAAGGCAGGGGCGGACTGACCATTTGGAAACTTGGGCACTGCCCGGGGACAGTAGGGGGCCCCATGAGATGCCCCTTCTACCTTTTTCATAGTCTTTTTTGAGCTTGGGCAACGACACAGGGCCCCATGATCCCGTATTGCCCAGGGGCCCCATGAGTTGTCAGTCCGCCCCTGGTGGAAGGAATGGTTCCACATATCATTGAGAGGAATAGTGCCCCAAGGGCCAGATAAAGGCAATCAAAGGGCCACAGTTTGGAGACCACTGGTTTCCAGGGTTATACCAGTCTGCACCAGGACCACACACCCTTTAGAGGAGCAGCACAGGCTGGCTTTATGCTTGCACCACTCGTTATTTCCCCCAGCTTAGTAAATTGAGCCCATG